TAAGCAATGGTGGTGGTGGTTGAGCTCCATGGATAATGATGACTATTGTGAGGACAGAATTCAACTCTCCACCTACATCTTATGGTGGTTGTGGAGAGCTAGAAACCTTTGGGTTTTTGAGAGTAAGTGGCATGCTGAAAGCTGGATCATTAAAGCTGCTTTGATGGACTGGCAGGACTTCAAAACTATCAACAATAATGGCTAATGGAGGTGCAGATAAGGTAGAATAGGTCTTGAGTCAGTTTTTTACCTTGATGCTAGGTTTCTTATTTGATATTGTTGATCTGGGCTGTGGTTCTGTGGTTGGGTTTGTTAAGTTTGCAATGTTATGCTTTATATGTAGCTTTCAGCTTCAGTGTGTGGTAGGTTTCTCTAGTTGCTTGTTTAGTGTTCGGTTTGTTGGTTTTGTAATGTTTAGGGAGCCTGTGTGCTGCCCTCTCAAGTTTTCCGGATTCGGGGATTTCCCCTTGTACTTATGACCTTTTTGGTCGGTTTTTATTTATGGAGATCGCTATATCGTTGGAAAAAAAAAGGAGGAGGGGTAGACCTAAGAAAACTTGGAAAAAAACACTAAAAAATAATTTAAAATATTTAAATTTGAATGAGGATATTTGTTTTAATCGAGCACGATGGCGACATACGATTCATATAGTCGACCCTAGAATTTTAAAGGCTTGTTGTTTTTGTTGTTGTTGTTGTTGTTGTTGTTGTTGTTGTTGTTGTTGTTGTTGTTGTTATTGTTGTTGTTGTTGTTGTTGCATAAGTATTTAATATATATAATGAAAATATGAACTTTTAATTTTTTTTTTTTGAAATAATTTTTTAAAATAATTTTATTTAATATAATTTAATCATGACTTATAGGGTATATTATATATTTATTTTTATAATATATTTTGACTTCATTTTTTGAAAAAATTGATTCCTACTAATATGGGAATGAAAAACCTTGCATTAGCAGTGGACAGTGTTTTAAAACGCGTATAACGTAATACATCGCATTTTGGTTTTTATATTGCGTAGCATAAATAGCGGTGCGTGTTGCGTGGGCTATTTGAGTATAAAAAATCCTTTTGATAGAAATATTATAAATATATTTGCATATAATAAAACTGGATGGTTGATTCAAAAAATTATCATAATATGTGAATGAATTCAAAAATAACATCTAAGAAGTATTTCTCACAAATGTTATAATGTAAATATCATAATATAAATATTTAAATAATAAAACGAACATACTAAAAAGTATAATCAAACAACGAAAATATAATGAGGTAATTCGTAGTTTAATTTTAAGTACATGCATTTTAGTTATTATCTTTATTCTAATCACAACTGAATTCTAACCACTATATATGAACTTTAAGTATTAGAATATTTTATTGTTTAAATGTCGTTGCAGAAATATAGTGCAATGCCGCGCGCAATAGCGTGAAATAACACAAAATAGCATAAAAGAAAGGTCTCATTTCAACAGTTCGCTTAAACTTTTCGGGAAAACGCTACGTCGAGGTTTTTTGGAAAAACAGCTACATAACGAGCTACGTAGTGAGCTATTTAAAACAACGGTTGTGGAATGACCAATCCCCTAGAGGTGGGTTTCGTCATTCCCATTGAAACGGCCATTACTTTAAAAAAAAGATTATATCAATCATGGGACAAGGAATTGAGTAAGGGAATGATATGATCATTCCATTACCAATCATGGCATAAAAGAATTTGGCAAGTAAAGAGTTAGATATTGGTGTTGGTGTAATTGGTTATCAATTAAGATACTCTGTTTGAGAACAACTATTCACTCTTGAGTATAGGTATTGGAAGAAAAACATTGAGAGTAAATTGCATACAATGACACAACAAAGAATATGATGCTATTATTACAAACCAAATTAAACAAAAAAAATAACAGGCCGACAAACACTTTAATTATATATTCTTTCTCACTATATATGTGAGAAAGACGTTGGGAGAAAATCACAAAGACGAGGCTAGGAAAATTACTTTTAACTAAGTGAAACCAAAAACACAAGCTCTCGAAAGACATTGAGAGGACAATCACAAAGACGAGACTAGGCGAAAATGAGTCAAACCAGAAACACACAAGCAACACAAGCTCACGAGCAAGGGATTGTAGAGGAATGAACTCAAATGTTTGCGGGAACCCCAACCCCGCCGAAAACATTATGAAGCACATCACGCGCCCTGCACATGGCCTCGAGGGGTTGGACTTTGGGCATTGATAACCCAGTCCCTTCGGTCAAATCGACCAAGGCCTCGTCAACCCTTTGCCAGTCGAAGCCCTGAATGAGTGAGGCAAGTGTCAAGCCGACGACACGTTGGGCCAAGCCCATCCCCGGGCAGGACCTCCTTCCGAGGCCAAAAGGCATGAGCTTGGTGGGGACAACCTCTGCGGCTTCGAAGCGCTCGGGAATGAAGCTGGTGGGGTCATCCCAAATCTTGGGGTCCCTGTGGATGGCCCACGCGTTGGCCATCAGGATGGTGCCACGTGGTATGTGGTAGCCACCAATGGTACAATCAGCGGATGCTTCGTGAGGTACAAGCAATGGCGCTGCTGGGAACAATCGGAAGGTCTCGGAGATAATGTGTTGAAGGTAATGGAGTTTGGGGACATCGGATTCGTTGATCAAGCGATCTTTGCCCACGAGGTTGTCGATCTCGATTCTTGCCTTCTGGAGTTTTTCGGGGTTGTTTAGCAGAGCAGACATGGCCCATTCTACGGTCACAGCTGAGGTGTCGGTCCCGGCGAGAAGCATATCCTGAAAGAATTCGTAGTTAATTTGCAGTTGATAATAATTTGAAAGTAATAAGATGGAGGAAATTACATGAAGCAGTAGCTATTTACCGAAATGATGCCTTTAATGATGGTGTCGTTGTAGTACTGAGGCTCCTTGTCCTGCAGGGAAAGCATGTGGTCGATCATGGTGTTGCCGCCATTAACTTTGCTCCTCTGCCGCTGCTCGTCAATCAAGTGCTGCAAAATGCTGTCCATCTTCCTGCTGACCTTGGCCAATTTCTTCTCGAATCCCTTGTAATCGATCCACTTGAGCACGAGGATAAAGTCGGCCGGGTTGGACACGCCGCCGTAGCTGAAAACCTCCTCTATCATCTCCCGGAACTCCGCGGCCTCCTCGTCACCCTCCCCAAAGTACCTCTTTCCGGCCACCATTCTCATGATGTTATTGAAAGTCAGCTCCGAAAGGCAGGATCTTAGGCCGACCCTCGCGAAACCGGAAGCAGAGGTCCCGTAGAGCTTCTGCAGCAGGAGCCTGATCTCGTCGTGCCGGATTGAGTGGAAAGCATTGAGTCGCGTGCCGGACAAGACCTCGACGGTGGTGAGGCGACGGAGGTTCCGCCAGTGGTCGCCATAGGAGGAGTCGACCAGAGTGGTGTGGTTGTAGCCCATGTATTTGCTAAACACGAGATGGGGGCGGTTGGCTAGGACGACGTCGTTTCTGACGAAGCACTCCTCGACGAGCTCCGGAGAGGAGACCACCACCATGAGGCGGCTGTGGCCGAGGTGGAGGGAGAAGATGGGGCCCACCTTCTCGGCGAGCTTCTGGTGGGTGCGGTGGATGGGGGTCTTGAGGAGGTGGAGATGGCCGAGGATCGGGAGGGACGGCGCAGGACTTGGCGGGAGTTTGGCATTTTTGTTCTTGGGGAATAACAGTAACTTGAGGAGGGAGATGGTAAGGATGGCGAGGAGAGCTGCTGGATACAACATTAATGAACTATTCATCTTCATCACTTCAATCTCACTCTCTGATCACTAATTTTTTCGTGTCTTAAATTAATTGACTTGATTGTTGTGTATCAGTTATGTGTGTGATTATATTGTTTGTGAGTTTTATCTCCCAATCCAACTCGCTTATATATATATATATATGTCGCCCAACAGTACTCCTATTCTTTAATAATCATCTACTTACCCTATCAATTTTGACTGCTTTGCTTAGTTTCTCTGTTTTGTTGACCAAAGAGAAGCTTCTATTTCATTATTATTATTATTATTATTATTATTATTAATACCTCAACTAATTAAATATAATTTCCTCAACACATCAAAAGATTTGCTTCTCTTTCTTCTAGATTTCATTTCATTTCCCAATTTAACAAGTTAAATAATGTGGAGGGCGGCTCCTTCTCCTCACTGTATAAGTGCATAACTATAAGGTAAGTGCTTAATTAAAATTACGCAAGCAATGATGAAATAATTCGTATCTAGTTATGTCAGCTAGTCTCGCATAATTATTGTTAAAAATCCAATTTTGTTTTCGTCCTCTAAGTTGGTCATTATCCAGTTTTTGTACAACAACTTTTCAGTCATCAATAATTGTATGTTATGTGGCAATTTGTATCCATTACTCATAAAAAACAGTACATTATGTTGCAATATGTATCATTTTTGGGACATTAATCCCAAAAAATAATGGACCATTTTTGGGATAATGTCCCAATAGTGATACAAACGACAACATATTATTTTTTATGAGGAGAAAGTTGGTATACCAAAAAAGGACAATGGACAACTTAGAGGACCAAAATTGAATTTTTACCTAATGGGCCTCAAAGTAAAAAGGGTCAAAATCTTTTTCACCCCATTATATATCTATTCTTTCTTTTTCACACCACCCCGTCAAATAACTTCTTTTACACCCCAGAATTCACGAAATGCTATGCGATGTTACACTCGCATGTCCAAATGAACCAGCGCATATCCAATCGGCCGCATAATTTCTGACTATGCGTAAACATTTCGCATTTTTTAATCGTATATCCACATCAAACGCATAATTTACAAATGTGCGAACATCTTTCGCATTTTTAATAATCGTATATACATATCGAATGCAACATAATTTACGATGATTATGCGCCTTCTTTTCGCAGGGCTATATGACTGCGAAACTATTTCGCATCTATTTCGCATAGTTTGTTGAATACGCATTTTCTGGTAATTGCATATCCAAGTCAATCGCATAATTTACTAATATGCGTAACGATTTCGCATATACCCTCCGGATAATTGACAATTATGTGACATTTTTTCGCTCGCATATTTAAGAATCGCATAACCAAATCGAATAAAGCATATCTTTTACGACTATTCAGAATTCATTCGCAGAACTTTCGCATAAGTTGCGCACCTCATTAATTGACTGCTTTTTCACATGTGAGGATTTGGTCTCTGCATTTTTAATGCAGGCAAAAAAACAGTGATCTCTAACAATTTAACGCCTGCACCATTCATCTACT